CTTTTGCCTGTTTGGTGGTTAGATTAACGGTTTTGTCTTGTATGACACCTGTGAGTTGTTCTAGACACGGCGCTGCACTGCTCGTCCAGTGTGCAACCAAAAATTAGGTCTGACAATTTATTACATTAAAAAGATACAAATATAGTTTATGAATAAATTTTTTCTAAATTATGTTGAATAAAATGCCGAAATATGAAGAATTCAGAGCATCCTGAATTGAACAAGCTCTGCGATTGAATGTCACTACTAATGTCATTTACTTTTTTCTTTCTGATTTTAATTCATCAAGATAATTTACTGTGTCTGCTGGAACTGTGATTATGATATTCATTCAAAAAATTATTGAATCCAACTACCCCAGTATATGGTTCTTCGACATTGTTATCAAATTAAATTTTACATTCTTTTTTTTATCAATACAAATGTTTGGTTTTTTTTTACTCATTTTGTCGTTGTTGGATAAAAGTTGTCTAAAAGGTGTAAATAGGGTCATCATGGAATTTATGATTCCACTTCTCCACATTTTTAAGTGTTTTAATTTCAAGATATTTTTTTCATTTCAGTTTTTGTCCTTTAAATGCTCAAGTGTGGAACCACATTCGTACACACCTTGTTAAGAAACAATATAAATTTAAAACTTTAAAATTGAGATTTGATGTTTGTTATTCAGTTATTGAAGGGCAAGAGTGCAGTTGAGCACATGTGAGTGAATTACATCTATGCTGTCAGCGGAGACCATGTCAACTAGAGACAGATCCCCTGCGAAGACCTCATCAGCTCGACGACCATCGGCACAAGACCACGGGAACCAGACGGGTCCTCTGCTCAATCTGACCTGTGCTGCAGCCTGGCATTAAACCACGCCATGCTGGTTTCGTCTGGCCAGAGGAGAACTGGCCCCTGACTGAGCCTGGTTTCTCCCAAGGTTTTTTCTCCATTTCTGTCACCGATGGAGCTTTGGTTCCTTGCTGCTGTCGCCTTTGGCTTGCTTAGTTGGGGACGCTTGACTGATTGCACAGACACTATTGGAAGAAAGCTGAACTGGATGATGACATCACTGAATCATCAATGAACTGACTTAAACTGGAAAAAAATACTCTGTTATTGTCTTATTGCATTATTGACAAACTATTTTCCTGTTTGACACAACCAGTATTGTACAAAGCCCTACATAAATAAAGGTGACTTGACTTGACTGTATGAAAAACACTGCTTTATAAAGACTTTTACTAATCTTTTGTTTTGAATCAGTGGTTCAAAGCATAGAAGTTCACCAAACTGGCCAACTCATCTGATTTAATAAAAAAAATAAGAATGAAAATATTATTAAATAGAGAATAAGGGAAACTAGAGAGAAAGTCAGACCGGTTGGCCTGCGGTGGCTTGACTGCTGTGGCACACTGATAGATCAAATGAACGGCAATGTTATCTGTTCATGAGAGTATTTTCTGATTGTTGGTTCAGACTGTTATTGCTGTTAATAAAGAAAGATGCAGATCTGCTATAAAGACCTGATCTGTAGATTTGGTCTGGGGTACAGTATAAGAAGCTAAAGTAAATTTATTTACAGTGATGAACTGTTCAACTGTGTGTATCAGTGAAATCTAGCTCTGACCAATCACACACACTTCTGTTGAACTTCTGAATGCGATGGCCAAGAGGTGTTTAGTCTGTTTTTAATCAGCGCTGCAAACACCAGACTTTTGTTCAGTTTACATGTTCACAGACTCAGATTCTCTCATAACATGGGAGTAAGAGATTTGGTTTGCAGTGTAGACCATTCAGTGATGATAAGTTTCTGTGAGAGCACTGAACTCTTAACCCCACTGAATGATCTTTCACTCACATTATCTCTCTTGAATAAGTCATTAACAAGTCTTCTGGAGGCATAAATACTTAATTTCTTACACTGATATGAAACATTTTATATAGTTATTTCAACTTGCCACAAACAGCCCTTACTTGTGTTTGTTTCATGACTCACTTGACAATGAGCCCATGAATCAGATTCTTTTTAACAGATATGGAGCTCAAAAAACCTGTGCACAACTACAGCATCTATTACAATAAAATAAAGGTTCAAGCTGAACACAGGTTTCATTTTATTTTTGAAAGTTGTTTACTGATAATGCTGCATGCACCTGTACAGTGAATGGATAAACGCTCTGGATTTGACTCCAGATGATTCAATAGAGGAAACAACACAGGCACTCAGGAATAAATTAATCACCAGTTCGCTCAAACTTGACTTTCAACTGAAACCTTTGAAAGCGCACAGATCTGAACCCTGACCCTCATCTTCTGGTATTACGGCTCGAACCCGTGGTGTGGAGGAGCGCCAGAAGCTCAAGGAGAGCAGACGCGAGCACAGAACAGAATGCTCTTGGAGGGATTGTGGCGTATGAAGAAGAGGAACGGGTGATCGGCACGAAAGCGCTCTGGACGCATCAGGCAGCGCATCATCATGACAGCACCGGTGGCTGCAGCCGCCTCCGTCCCCTCCTCGTTCACTTCAACAAACGACTTATGCACCACCTTAGACAGCAC